GGGCCAAGCCGATCATCCACTGGGTCTTCTCAGAGACCACCACCTCCCAGTAGTGGACCCCGCCGCCGAACGCCTCCGAACCCAAGACCGAGACCTCCACGTCGAAGCGTTTGGGGGAGTCCTGCAGCGGTTGGGGGTGCAGGTTGCCGTACGCCACGATGGTGCAGTCGTCAGAGAGGATGAGGCGGTGGTGAGCTGTGCCGGGGTCCAGCGTCAGCGCTGCCGGCACTGGTGGGAGACAAGCAAGGGAAAGGAACAAGTGTCAATGCACACCCCATGGTGAGGAGATCACCTGGGTGGTCCCCATCCCTCACCAGTGATGTCCACATCCCCATCCAGCCCAAAAAGCCAACCACGTCCTGGGCTGCATCTAAAGCAGCGCGGCTGGCAGGTCGAGAGAGGGGATTCTGCCCCTCTGCTCCGGTGAGACCTCACCCGCAGTTCTGTGCCCAGCTCTGGAGTCCCCAGTACAAGAAGGACACGGATGTGTTGGAGCGGGTCCAGAGGACACCACAAAGACGATCAGAGGGCTGAGGCACCTCTCCTACAATGACAGGCTGAGGGAGTTCAGTCTGTTCAGCCTGGAGAAAAGAAGGCTCCAGGGAGACCTTCTAGTGGCCTTCCAGTACCTGAAGGGGCTACAGGAAAGCTGGGGAGGGACTTTTTGTAAGGGCACGTAGTGACAGGATGAGGGGCAACGGATTTAAACTAGAGCAGGGTAAATTTAGATTAGATATTAGGAAGAAGTTCTTTACTCTCAGGGTGGTGAGACACCGAAACAGGTTGCCCAGAGAAACCGTGGATGCCTCATCCCTGGAAGTGTCCAAGGCCAGGCTGGATGACGCTCTGAGCAACCTGGGCTAGCGGGAGGTGTCCCTGCCCCTGGTGGGGGAGTGAAATGAGATGATCTTTACAGCCTCTTCCAACTCAAGCCATTCTATGATTCTACGATCCCTTCCCAGCGACGTCCCCATCCCTCACTGGTGACATCCCCACCCCTCACCAGTGATGTCCCTGTCCCCATCCCTCACCAGGAACGCCTCCTGCTGATCCCCTCCCCACGCTCCTCACCCGGATGGATATCCTGGAAAAGGGATTTCCAGATGGTGTACTGCAGCGGCCCCATGTATTTGGAGGTGGGAAAGTCCTCGTAGGTCAGGTTGGTCTCGTGGATCTTCCCCTTTAGTCTGGGAAAGAGAGATGATGAAGAAGAGGCTGGGTACGGCATGGGAGACCCCGGTGCCACGTCGGTGTCACCCACCTCTCGGAAAGGGACGCGATGCCGGCTAAAAAGATGTGTTTGTCAGCTTCGGCCAAGCGCTCTTGGAGGATCTGGCTGCCCTCCTGCACCTTGCGGAGCTGCTGGCTGTAGCGCTGGATCTTCTGCTCGATGTCGGTCAGCGTCCGCGCCGTGTCCGCCTCCAGCTCCTCCAGCATTGCCTTCTGCCGCTCCCGCAGCAGCCGGTGCAGCCGCTCAAAAGCCTCCCCGATAGTCACCCGCAAGCTCTTGGCTGAAGACTTTTGGGGTGCAGGTGGGTGTCACGATATCCCCAAATCTGCCCCAACCCCCTCCATGAATCTATAATTCCCAAAATAAACCCCCACAGGCCTGTTAACCCAAATGATTTTGGACACTCCAAGCATCCAAGGATGGATATTTGACCCCATATCCCTATAGAAAACCTAAAAAAAACCCATTGCTAGTGATGATGAAGAGAAAATTGAACCAGGCTGAAAGCTGAACCCCTGAACAAGGAGCAGATGATAAACATAAAATAAAAAATAATTTAAAAGATAAATAAAAGCAGCCCTCAAGGAACTAAAAAGAGGGATAAGCAGCCTGATGAATGGCTTCATCAATTCACCAGAGAGTTCTGGGGTACCAGGGAGGGAAAAAATGAGCAGACCCATGAAACTGTAAGGTTTTGGTCTTTGGGAGTCCCAAAATCAGTCAAGGCTCAGGGACGTTATCAGAGGGCAGATGGGGTTGACCCTAATCCCAGCTGTACTTCTGCACCCACATGGTTAGGGGTCGTAGGGAAGGGCTGGGAGGAGGCGAAGGGGTCCAGATCCTGCCACCTCAGGGGTCACAGCTGCATCCCCACTCATACCTTGGTCTCAGCCAGCTGCCGTTTGAGGAGGTGCAGGGCTTCGGTGTGGCCACGCTCGCTCTCCTGCAGCCAAGCCCGTGGAGCTGCTCCTTCAGCTCCCGCTGCAAGACAGGGAGGGGAAAAAACAGACTCAAAACATAAAATAGGGGATTTGAGGAAAAAAAGGTATCCCAGCGGGCAGCTCTTCTGCCCAAATCCAGCTCGTGAGGTATCAGGGTCATTGAAAAAGGGAGGTGCAGGGGGTGGCAGGGGTATGGTTGGTCCCTGCTGGCACAGGGGTCCTGCCCAGGGCAGAGCTGGGGGCTGGGTAACGGCTTAGGGGTTTCCTACTGGGGGGGCAGCTCAGCAGAATAATGGGCATTAGGGATCCCAAGGATTCCCAAAGTGGATGGAGAAGGGGGAATCCCATGAGGGCAGCTGCAAAAGCATGTGGATCGGTGGACAGACAGACAGAGGGATGGGAGGTAGTGCTGAGGCTGACCCCAACAGGGACAGAAGGGGTGCAGCGACAGATGGGCAGGAGCCAACACCAAGGCAAGAGGGGATGAAGGCGCTGAGAGGAGCAGCTCAGGGCAGGGCGATCCTGGAGGGATGAAGCTCCACAGCCGGGGAGGGATGGACTCACCTGCAGCTCTTCGAAAGCATCATCCACATTGGTGACCTGGTGCTGCTCGTGCACGGCGGGCTCGTCACAGAAGAAGCAGACAACAGCGCGGTCAGTGAGGCAGAAGAGCTTGACCTTCTCGTGGTCC